AAATTACCCAATTTAGTAATTTTGATATCCTATATATTCTTATCTTATCCGACTCTGATCCGTAATGAACACGTCTAAATGTTAGCATTACACGGTCTAAATCTTTCTACAATGTTTTGTTGTTTTCGTGATTAATGTAATTTCAAATGAACTTAACGAAAAAGTTCAAAGAATGTGAAAAAGACACTTTTTATCTTCTAGAAGTGGGATAATTTTTCAAAAGAATCTACTTTTTTCATCTTCCTAATTAACCAATGGGAAAAATGGAATTGCTCCGCAGTATTATTATATTTATATCTTTCACTCGTCTCTTCTTTAGTTCTTTTACAACAAAGATAAATTATATACTCCGTAGAAAGTGGAGAATCCGGCGGTTTCGGATCTCTTATTCAATTTCCAAGGTAAACACACTCTGATTTAACACCTTTTGCAATTTTTTTTTTGTTTGGTTTGAGAAAAGTAAACCCTTTTGCATCTTATGTCTTGGGATTAGTTCATTGGATCTAATGTTCTTTTGGTTTTAAGATACTTGTTTCGAAGCCATGGAGGAAGGTTTAGGTCTTTACCCACTTCATCGTTGCAAAACCATTCACCTGGTCCGTACAAAAGTCCAAAATATACGAGTGGTTCATATTCTCTCTCCCAAGTTTCTGATGCGGTTTTTGTTTGTTTGTTAGGTAAGACATGCTCAAGGTATACATAATGTGGCTGGAGAAAAAGACCATAGTGCTTATTCTTCTGAGGACTATTTTGATGCTCATCTCACACCTCTTGGTTGGCAACAGGTATATATACAAATCTATCTTCTGGTCTCTCTACCAATGATCCTTTGTTGTCATCATTTGTTGTCTATATGGCAGGTGAAGAATTTACGCAACCATGTTTTAGCCACTCAACTCCCAAACAAAATTGAACTTGTCATTGTTTCCCCTTTGCTTAGGTACAACTTTTCACTATCATACTTTTTAGTTCTCAAATAATATTTTTATTTGCATTTGCCTTTTTGCAGACCTTAAAAAGTGTTTTGTTATGAAAGGTTTGTTTTGGCTTAAAAGATTATAGCCAACTGAAATTGGTAAGACTCAATTCTTATATGATATATTTTATTTTTGTTTTTTCAAATGTAGAACTTTGCAGACGGCTGTTGGTGCTTTTGGAGGTGAGGAAGATACCAACGGAGTCGATGCAGCGCCGCTAATGGTGGCTAACGCGGGGAACAGCGATCACCCTGCGATTTCAAGCTTAAAGAGTCCGCCTTTCCTTGCTGTTGAGCTATGCAGAGAAACTATGGTACATAGAACTTTATATACATGAGAGCTAATATCAATCATTATCACATTATTAAAGATTGTTCTATGAATGCAGAATGATCATCCTTGTGACCGGCGAAGAAGCGTCACAGAGTACAAAGCTCTGTTTCCCGCAATCGATTTCTCAGCTGTAATAACTTCTTATTGGCTCCTGTATTGCTTGATTTGAAAGATTTTTGTTTTTATAATTTCCTCTATGGTTTTAGATTGAAAGTGATGAGGATGTTTTGTGGAAGCCGAGTCCAAGAGAGACCCCGGAAGAAGTTGCAGCCAGAGGTGTAGAGTTCATCAAATGGTGAGTGCATTTTTGTTACTAATTTCCAAATGGAGATCCTGAAACACACATTTGCTTTGTTGTGAAGGCTATGGACGAGGAAAGAGAAAGAGATCGCGGTTGTATCTCATAGTGGCTTCTTGCATGGCACCTTAAGCTCTTTCGGAAAGGATTGTCACCATGACATAAAGAAAGAGTTGTCTACACAGTAAGAGCTTAAAGCACCAACCTTGTATTAATAATAACTTGAGAAGAAATGCACAAACTGTTTTACTAATCAAAATTTCTAACTTTGTATAGCTTTACCAACTGCGAGCTTCGATCAGTGGTCATTGTGGATCAAGGGTAAGAAAATGGCAATGAGATACAAATAGAATCACATGTAAGATTTGAGAGTGTGTTGTGTTATATAACTTATAATTTCCACTTGTAGAAAGCTGGGGACTGATTCTGCAGAGACCACAAACTATCCAGGGAAGGTTCCTCAATGACTTCATCTTCTAAGCGGCTAATAAAATATTCAAATACAAAGGAAGTTAAGGAGAACATGATGCTTCCATTAGACTAAGAATTTGGCATTTTCAGAAGTAAACTGAATTATTAGTATTTATATGTTCACTCTGCTGCTACATGTATTCTACAGATTATTGAAGACAAAGAAACTCCAATAAGTTATAACATTGAAGCCGTAATAAATAAATTCGGTTTACATTCGTTGTACAAAGCTCATGGGTACATACGAGTGTTCTTGGTTTCCCTACCCTTTGATTTCTGAAAACCTAAGTCAACCAAATCTACTCATCTGCATATGCCTGCACATACATGCATATATTATCTTCAATGCAACAGTATATGTATATATACACACAGCCTTGAGTTTGTGACCCAATCGCTCTATGAACATATAACGAAATGGTCTTGAACAAGGATTTGCTCTTCTTGCTTGTCTAATGTTCTTCGCACCGCTTTATAGAACTCGATCCAAGAAGACGAATACGAATCCGCATTGCCAAACATGAAAGTTGGATTGGGACTTGCAGGGCAAGCAGTGACCAAATCCAAAACAGAAGCAGTAGCAGGTTTGAGCTGATGAGGGAAGTTGAAAGCCAAGTTATCGACTTTATGCTCGTAGATTTTGCCGTTTCGATCGAGTTTATACCGAGAAGTACCCTGAAACTCTCCTTTTGCCTCCCATGGAACTCTAGGTACACCTTTAAGATTCCACCTAATGAGAATCATGTTCTCTGATGGTTGCCAAACCCTGAAAATCTCAAGTGAGATATCTCTAAACAGAATCTTGCCATGAAATCTAAGTGCCCAAAAGATCAATTTGTAATTCTCAATTCCAGTGAATGTGTTCATTGGATCCACCAATGTTATGTCGTCCCTGAAAAACCAAACAATCTAATCATAAGAAATTGACATTTTATCACTGCAAAATCTGAAATTTGTTATCTTTGACACATTTTAAGAACCTGTAAATGTCGTAATTGAGGTCTTTGGTGAAGAGTAAAGGCAAATCTTCACGAAGAGTTCGGACAGCTAAACCGAGGTTGATGTAGAACTCATCTTTGCTATGTTGTTGCTTATCAGAAGCACTAGGTCTGGTCTTAACCTGCGAACCTCGAACAGGAGGAGCTTGGACCGGAAGAGAAAGTAGAGAGAGAGTACTATCTTCTTCGAATTCGTGGGTTTTAGAAGAAGATGATGATGATGATAAAGCTTGGTTCGAAATGGGTTTGTCCTTGAAAGATTTTCCTGTCTGAAGAAGGAAAGAAGGAGAGAGATTGGGAAGAAGAAACGCCATAGCTACTAGATTTTAGAGCTTTCTGCGTTTGTCTTAATAGC